TTTCCTCCACATCCTTTTTTTTTTTTTTTCTTTTTTTTGAGACTCGTGTGTATGTTAAAATGTTTTGTTAGTTGGTAGTTTCTTTTTTATTCTAAATCTTAGAACTTACTTATTGGAGGTTCAGCTGCTTTTTCCCAGTTCCAGAATACACAGTTTGGAAAAGAGCCACAAATGATTTGAAATTAACACCCAGAATTCTGAATCAATGGCTTTTATCCACTKGGCTGCACCCAGACGAGAACTAGTTTGGTTTAGTCATTTATTCTTTCTGGACCTTCCCCAGTTGTAGACTGGGGGTACTACTACTACTAATAATAAAAGCTKCCTCTTAAAGGTTGTTTCAAGGAACAGGTGAGGTAGTGATAGTAAGGGGCTTGAACAAAGTCTAGCACATACYTAGTAGATGCTCACAATTTTACCTCTGGACAGAGCACAGAGTTTTGGGTACAGCCTAGGGCCCAAGGTCTGATCAACTAAGAGGAAGAGAACTCTGGCTCCACCTTCTCTTGGAACTGGGTGATCTAAGTTAACTCACTTTTGAAATATTTGCAAGAACCCTCTTACCTCATAGCTTCCACCCTCAACTTCCCCTTTGCCCACCATGTCTTTCCCACATGGCRATCAGAATAACCCTTTTAAAACTGAAGTCAGAGCAGGCACCCTCAAAGAGCACTCCGCCCCTCCCACCCSCGTCATTCTTAGTAAAATCCAAATTCCTAACAAGGCTTATAAGGTCCTACTTGGTGCAAACCTCTCCTTACACACCAAACCTCATCCCTGCCCCCAACCCCATATCTCCCCTGGCTTGCATTTTTTTTTTTTAACACTCCAAGCTTGCTCCACCACAGAGCCTTTGACTTTGCTTTTCCCTGTGACTGAGCCTGAGCATTTCTCCCCACAAGTCAGCCAAGAGGTCCCCAGCTTCTCTCTGCTCTCTGTTCAGCCACACACAACCACACACACAGCCCTCTTCCTGCCCACCACCCCCAGCCCTGCCTCCATGTTTCTCCATAGCGCTTTCCACTTGACACATTGGAAGTATAACTATGTCAGTCTCCCAGCCCTGGACCATCGGGTTCCAAGCAAGCAGAGATTTCACCGCTACATTCCCAACTTCTAGATAAGTACCTGGCACACAGGAAGCTGATACACAGTAGATGAATAAGTGAATAAGCAAATCCGTTTCCTCTTCTATAAAGTGAGGATGATACCAGCAATCACTTGAGGTTCCCAGGAGGATAAATGACAGAATTCATAGCAGGGAGTGACTCTACTCCCTGCAGTTATTCTACACTGTCTCAGTCCGCCACATTCGCAGCCACCATGTCTCAGATTATAAGCAAACTTTGACAAAAACAAAGCTTCCGGTTCCTATGTCTCAGGGATTTAGCATTCCCTGCTTATATTTTGTTACAGAAGGACTATTTGCTTTTTAAGTGAAAATTCTTTTTTCATACTAGTTCCATATACATTGATGACTTGTTTTACTAAAACTGCACTTTACCGTAACTGAGGGCCTTAGCAACAGTTGAGAAATTATGGGAACAAAATCACTTTCCTTCAAGAGCCTTAACATAAGTAGAATATTAGCACATGCACCCTCCATGTACTGCTTTCATTTATACATTCAACAAACATCTCATGAGTACCTGCCATGTGCCAGGTGTTGTAGCAGGTGCTGGGGAGCAGGGGGAACAAAATTATCATTTTCAGCCCTTTAGAGATTTGGATTGTTGTATGAGAGATCCTCCTGCCTCAGCTTCCCAAACCACAGGGATTTCAGAAGTGTAGCACTCTGCCTGGCCTCTCTAACTCTTGATCAATGTTAAAAATGAGGCTGTTTAGAGCAACACAGCAAGACCCTGTCTCAATAAAAGGGAGGGCATGTTGTCATAATCCTAGAATGTCTACTGCCCCCCCCTACTTTTTTTTTTTTTTTTTTTTTTTTGGTACTGGGGATTGAATTCAGGGGCACTTCACAATAGAGCCACATCCCCAAACTTTTGTTTTTTGAGAGGGCCTTGCTAAATTGCCGAGGCTGGCCTTGAATTTGTGATCTTCTTGCCTCAGCCTCCTGAGTGGCTGGGATTACAGAAATACACCACCACACCCAGCTCCACACATAGAAGTGACCTAGGGAATTGTCAAATGCTACTTGATCTGTGTCATGAGGGTATTACCAATCTGTGACTGCCACCAAGTGCTTTTCTTAAGTGCTTTTTATTTATTTAATTTTTTTGATGGTTCTTGTTTTTGTGGTGCTGGGGATCAAACCCAGGGTCTCATGCATGCTAGGCAAGCATGCAACCATGGAGCCACATCCCCCGCCCTTTTTATTTTTTACTTTGAGACAGCATTCCTCTTAGCTGCTTAGGGCCTCTCTGAGTTGCTGAGTTTGTGCTACTGCAGCCAGCTTAAATGGACTCAATCATAAAATTACCTTTTGTTTAAAAAGTCAAAGCAAAGAAGAGGTTATTTGTCTAAAATACTAGTGAAAATTACTTGGTAAAAAAGGATCACGGAGCCAGGCAGGTGATACACGCCTGTAATCCCTGCAACTCCAGAGGCTGAGGCAGGAGGATCACAAGTTCAAGACCAGCTTAACCAATTTAGCGAGGCCCTAAGCAACTTAGCAAGACCTATCTCAAAAATAAAAAGGGCTGGGGATGTGGCTCAGTGGTAAAGTACCCCCAGATTCAATCCCCAKTACCAAAAAAAAAAGGCTGTAAAAGTAGGTATTCTTAGCAAACCCCCMCMCACACACACACCAAAGTGTGTGTCAAAGGACTGAGATAGGATCTTGCTGTGTTGCCCAAAACAGCTCTATTCTTAACATTGATCAAGAGCTTAAAGGGGCCAGGCATAGTGGTACACTCCTGAAATCCCTGTGCTGAAGAAGAAGGATCACAAATTTAAGGGCAGCCTCAGCAATTTAGTGAGACTGTCTCAAAATAATAAATTGGGCTGAGACCGGGCACGGTGGCTCATGCCTGTAATCCCAGTGGCTCAGGAGACTGAGACAGGAGGATCACAAGTTCAAAGCTAGCCTCAGCAAAAGCGAGGTGCTAAGCGAACTGAGTGACCTATGTCTAAATAAAATGCAAAATATGCCTGGGGGTGTGGCTCAGTGGTTGGGTGCCCCTGAGGTCAATCCGGGTACCACCCCACCCAAAAGAATTGCAAGGTGAAGGCCAGCCTCAGTAACTTAGTGAGACCTTGTCTCAAAGTAAAATAAATAAATAAACAAAAGAATGCTATATAAACTTCCCTACAAGTTTGTGATTTTTTTGTTTTTGACAGTCCTGCTGTTATGGCCTAGAACTTTCGATCCTCCGGCCTCAGCTTCCCCAGTAGCTTGGATGACAGGCGTGCGTCATCATGCCCAGCAGGTTTATGGTTTTTGTTGTAGGCAAACTGGGACCTGCTGAGGTCTTGGAACAGGACTGATCATGATCATAGTGAAATAAACGGTAATATACTGAAGATGAACTGCTGGTATGAAATTCCCCCCTTTAAAACTTCCAAGCCATACAGGGTGGAGGGAAGCTCAGGGGGCCATGAACCAAGAATAAACCAAAAACAAAAACCTAGGACCTCTTGGGAGGTTCATTCCAAGTCTCCTCCCATGTGAACTGGGAATCATAGGACCCCAGCACCAGGGCTCAAGGCCAGCATTTCAAAGCATCAAGCGACCATTGGAAACCCTGTGGTGACCTTGGGTTGGGGTGTCCCTTACAGCACATCACCAAACCCTCAGAAGGCTACAAATAAGATCTATAGCTTTGCTCAGGGGTAGAGGAGCTCAGAACTTAATTTGTTACCAAACTGGTTCTCAGAACCCACCAAGTGTAGCCAGTGAGACCCAAAGGTAAAACATTTGAGGTCCAATTCTAAAGTGTTTCAAGAGAAGACAGGTCAGGCCTGGTGGTATACAGCTGTAATCCAGGCTACTTCGGAAGCTGAGGCAAGAGGATTTCAAGTTCAAGGCCAGCCTCACAACTTGGCAAGACCCTGTTTCAAAATAAAAATATTAAAAGGACTGGGGATATAGCTTAGTGACAAAGCACTCTTGGGTTCAATCCCCAGTACCAAAAAATACAGAAGTCACCCACCCATAACTTACCAAGCACCTCTTGTATGTCAAGCAGTGAGCCAGGTCCCAGGCCTTATTCCTGCCCCTTCCTCCAGCCGGCCCCTCACACTCTGCCCCCCTTACTCTATTTCCTCTTCCACCTAATACAGCATGGTGCCTGGGTGTAAGCCTTTTATTTTAAAGAGTATCTTAGAGTCATGTAATGATCACATGGAGTGGATTTAGAAATCCATCCCCCCTGAACACTAAGTTGGTTCAGTTAAAAACAAAGTGAGCCAGGCCTGGTGGCACAGGCCTGTAATCCCTGTGGCTAGGGGGGCCGAGGCAGGAGGATCGCAAGTTCAAACCCAGCCTCAGCAACTTAGCAAGACCCTAAGCAACTCAGTGAGACCCTCTCTCTACATAAAATACAGAAAAGGACTGGGGATGTGGCTTGGTGGTTAAGTGCCCCTGGGTTCAATCCCTGGTACAAAAACAAACAACAAAAGAAAAAAATGAGACTACGGAAGAGGTTCCAGCTTTTTAAAACTTTTATTCTTCCCCTTTACACAAAACAAAGTAGAAGAAATAATACAGGATTAAAACTGCTAAAGTAGTTATTGGTAGAACATGTATTCACACACAAAAAAAAATCCAGATAAGAAAACAGGCTTATTTACAATGAGGAAACACGTGTAAAATTAAGGTAGTTGTCATATGAAACATTAAAAAAGAAAATTAAACATACACTACAACGGGTGCCACTGTTTACAACGAGAAAGATGGGAGAGAACAACACTTACTCAGGAGCAGATGCACCAGAAGGTACAGGGTTACAGCATCAGTGCAATAAATTCACAAACTATCTTACAGCTAGTTCATCAGCTTAAGAATTGTTCCCAAATATGTCACATTTTTTGGCCCTCAAAGGTTTATTCCTACAGGTGTTAACTACTCTAAATTTCTAGCTACTGAGAAGGAAAGAATGATAAGCTTTCCAAAGAGTCACAAGGTCTACATAGACCAGAGACCAGCTATCACTACATGTCTGCTGTCACCAACAGCCCTTGAATTTTTCAAAGAAATATCGAGAAAAAAAAAGTCATCAGTGTAGAACTCTCTTCAATGCCAAACGGAGGGCGACCAAGTAATCGTCATTATTACCAAAGAAGGGAATTTTGAGGCTTACCCTTGAAGGCTTTCTCTGGTCTTAAGAATCAGATTATTTTTTTCTCTACTGCAATGAACTTTCATTCAACACCGGCAGACTTGTCTTTGTTTAGCTGGTCATGGAGTAAAGGTCACAGACTCAGGTCTCGACCTACTGTGCACTTCAGGTCAGCTGAAAACCTGAAATGCTAAGTATGCTGAAAATCCTAAATACAGTCTTTTAGAAGTCTGCTGTTAAAAAGGCTTAAGGGTTTACTAACTTGAAGTAGTGCAGAGAACAAGAGCTCTAAGCCTGTCAGATTCCCTGTGGAACAAAGAATCAATGTTTCCTAGAAATGGCTAAGTTTTGCACAAGGGAGTTTGAAACCTATACAAACTAGGGCATGGAATTAATTTCATTTTATTCCATGGGGATTCTTCTCCCATGGTAAAAAACAAACAAACAAAAAACCAGCACAAGGAACGAATCTTAATTGGTCTCTTCATCAGAAGTAGTAAACTTGGTCTCTATATATTCATGAAGCCTGACAGGTTTTTAAAGCAGACTGTGGAAGCAGACAGTAGATTCAGCTTTTTATAGCCACAGACCACTACCTTGCAGTAGCTAGAACAAATGTCAACACTGTTAATCATACTAAAAAGTAAAAATCACCACTGTTATTTTAAAGGAAGTCGTCAAAAGTAAAAATTCAATTAACCCTGGGTGAGAAAAATCAAGACGAGTCATACTCACTAATGAGTTGTCCACTTAAGGTCAACTGATGAAAATGTGCCCAGCTACACCTGACTCAAAGACACTGTGCACAAAGCCTTACCTGGCAAGTGTGAATTTCTATCAACTAAGGGCAGAGTGAGGCGGAGCTAGAGCTACTTCTGTAACATTTTAGTATCCAGACAGCATAGTAGCAACTGTTCCCAGGGGTGATGCAGACTCCATAAACACAGGAATAAAGCAGATAGATGCATTATTCATTTTTCTTTTCTTTTTGTTTGAGAAGCTTGTTTATCTCCCTTTTGGCCATTCCAATGTACTTCGAAATGATTCCATGTTGGTTTAATCCAGGAAGCAACAATAAGAAAGTCACTTAAAATAAATAAGCAAACAAAATTAAGGAGGCAGCAATTACTTTCCCTAAATATTTTAAAGAAGGCAGATCCCCAGACTGTCAGACCCCCCTGAACAGGAAGAAGCAATACGAAATCCATTACTTCCATTGGGATTTAACCCAGAAACTTCTGCCATGATGTTCTCCCCACCTCAGTTTATTTTTATCTTTTGTACACTACTTTCTTCTTCTTTTGCTTTTATTTTGTACACTACTTTCTACCTTGGTAATTAAGGTTTTGTCTTTACTTCCCCTGATGAGAAATTCCCTGAGAGGGAGGACCTGAATCTTTTTGTTGTTGTTTTCTTACTGGAGACTGGATGCAGGTCCTCCACCTTTGAGATCCAGCCGCCTCCTTTCATTTTTGCTAAGTACCCAGTCTGGCCTTGAACTTGGAATTCTTCTACCCCAGCCTCCCAAGTAGCTAGGACTACAGGTGTACCCCACTGGGCCCAGCTTATCACCTTTCTGTAAACCCACAGTCCTTTGGTCAGTGCCTTAAACTTGGATAAGCATCCTCGTGTCTGTTTATTGACTAAGCTACAGGAAGACTTCCCTGACCAGGATGTGCCTCTAGTTTTTCTTTGAAGACTTACCTATTAGGTAGGTGAGAAATAGATTGTGGACTTGCTGTCCAATCCAAGCAACCGCAGCAAGAGAAATGATCATGGTCATGAAGTACTAGCAATGAAAACAACAAGAATTGATCAACTCCAAAGTCCGACTCTTAAGTCTGTTTCACCATTCCACAATATGCACATGTATCAAAACTTAACACTTTGTGCACATACATGTAACTTTTATCAAGTAAGTTTCTTTCAAAGATTAGAAAAAGAATTTTAGCCTTAAGCTGACAGAGGTAAGCAAACAGATGTTTTCTAGGTATATTTCTTTTACTTTGGTAAAAGAAAGAAAAATTTTGCCCTTATTAGAATAAAAAATTAAGTGCAAAATATACTTTTTAACTCTCACTGATTCAGCCTAATACACACACACATTGATGAATGTACTAAGGAGTTATCCAAATGGAGTAATATTCAACTATAACTATTAAAACCAAAGGCCATCTGTATCATTATATTGCAAAGATATCAAAATTAACTCAATCTTGAAAAGACAAAGTTAAAAAAAAAAAAATCACCATTTTAGGCTTTTCTTCCTTTAATGTAAAGAGGCGCTTCCACCAGCCCACAGCTCTGCGTCGGGTCTTCACTAGATTGCTGCAAATTTCATGGAATCTTTGTTGTTGTTCAGTGGTCCTAGAAAAACGATTTTCCTTTTTGTTATAAGCAAATCTCCACAGCAGACAGAAATACACTGTCCTTTTACATGTAAAGAGTTATCTTCTAAAGAAGGCTGAAATAGCTCGGCAGAGGGGCATATGCCTTGTAATCTTGGGAGGCTGAAGAGGATCACAAATTTGAGGCCAACCTGGGGAACTCAGCAAATGCCCGTCTCAAAATTAAAAACACAATCAAGGCTGTGGATGTATATAGCTCCACAGTAGACTGACCCTGGATTCAGTCCTTGGTGTCATAAAAAAAAAAAAGTCAGTTCAAAACAAAACAAAAATATAATGGTTTACCATTACCTTATGAAGTTTAAAAAGTTACTGCACCTATCTTTAAGACACCTTTTATAGTATAGGAATAAATTTTATATAAAGAAGCTTGTGTGTGTGTGTGTGTAGATTAATAGCAATCTACACTTTCTAAACATTTGGTTAATGACAGTAACAAAAGACTCATGACGCCAGGCACCACCTGGCACATGCCTGTCATTCCAGTAGCTCGAGAGGCTGAGGCAGGAGGATCGTGAGTTCAAAGCCACCCTCAGCAAAAGAGAGGCACTAAGCAACTTAGTGGGACCCTGTGTCTAAATAAAATACAGAATAGGGCTGGGGATGTGGCTCAGTGGTCAAGTGCCCCTGAGTTCAATCCCTGTTACCTAAGGAAAAAAAAAAAAAATCATGACTTATACAAGGCCATGTAGACTTCAGTAAAAATTTGACTCAAGTCCTATATTATTTTTCCGGTCCTAAAACATCCTGCATTGTAGCCCATCACACTCCCACCAAATAGCTGTATTTGAGCACTCTGCAGCAAGATGGTAAATATTCAAGGCGTAATAGCCCCAACTGGGCTTCATACATTTGATGCCAAGATAGCAATAAACAATTCAATCCTTTTTTGGGGGGTGGGGGGGTGAGTACAGTTAACCCTAGGGATGCTCTACCACTAAGGTACATCTGCAGCCCTTTTCACTTTATTTTTGAGACAGGGTCTTATAAATTGACTACCCTGGCCTTGCACTTAGGGATCTTCCTATCTCAGACTCCCAAGTGAGATCATAGGCATATGCTACCATGCCTAGCTCAAATAAATTCTTTATACTTTAGTCTCAGTAAGGGACAATACAAGCATCAAACAATAGTAGTAAAAATTCAAAAAGACGGGGCTGGGGCTCAGTGTCAGAGCGCTTGATAGCACATGTGAGGCACTGGGTTCGATCCTCAACACCATATAAAAATAAACAAGTAAAATCAAGGTATTCTGTCCCTCTACAACTACAAAAAAATTTTTTTTAAAAAATTAAAAAAGACCCTCTGAGACAGTCCCATTTATCTTGTTTCTGATAAAAAATAAACAATTGTCTCTGGACTGTCTTTGCTACATGACACAGTGACGACTATTAAGGTCTGCACTGAGGAGTGCACTGCCTTCTCTCCTCTACTCCTCATCCCAGGAAAACTGCAGCGTCAGATAAAGCAGGAGGATTCCTACTGAGCCTAGGACTTCTTGTATACAATTAGACCTTGTATGTTGCTCCTGGTCTAGATTAGATTGCGACTATGCAACAGTGTTTTTTCCCCATAAGATCATTCTGGTAAAATCAAAAAAACTAACATTTTTGCTATCAACAATTGAGTTCCAGCTGGATGTGGTGGCACAACCCTATAATCCCAGAGACTTGATAGAGTGAGGCAGGAGGGTGGCAAGTTCAAGGTCAGCCTCAGCAACTTAACAAACCCTGTCTCAAAATAAAATAAAAAAGACTGGGGATATAGCTTAGTGGTGGTGGTGGCGGTGGCAGCGGGCATGAGACTATCAGTGTTTATATTTGAAAGCTTTCCTCTGGGAATCAAGAATTTGCAGATTAGAATGTCATTTAGCTAATAAAGTCAAGGTCAGTGATTGATTGCCTTTGTAAAGTGTGTTATACTGCATAGTTACCAACTTGTCTCAAAACCAACAGTATTAATTCAGGTAAAAAATAATTCAAGGGACAGTTCCAAAGCTAATCCAATCTGTAAGGAAAACATCTTCAGAGAAATATGCTACATACTCATCCCAGAATTTAAGCAAACTCCCCAAAATTCACAGCTATTAAAAATTCATAAGGCACATACTTAAAATCCTCATTTTTATAAATTTTTGTAGATTACTAATTACATTAAAATAAATAACTAAGAAGGAATGGTACCTGGTTTAAAAATCTATTAAAAATGTAATTTAGCTCATTATTTGGATCAAAGGTGAGAAATTCAACATTCTAAAGGGAAGTTAAAATAGTTTCAATACTAGTCTTGGCTATTGATATAATCGTACCTATTTGCAGATATAGCTTAAATCTATCCTGAAGTCCTTAATGTGCATTTAGCTAACCACCACTGCACTGCCTCAATGCCCCTCCAGTGCCCCAATATCTCAGCCTGAAGCACAAGATCAAAATATCTCACAGCACTTAAAACAGTGCATAACATAGTAGACACTTAATTAAATGTTGCTAAATCAATGTAGATAGAAATCTCCCATTTACTGCTTTTGTATTGATTCAAATATAGTTTGTGAAATTATATTAAATATTAATGTAAATATAAATATGTGACTTTTATACAATGTTCAAGTTTTATAATCCTTTGTTAAAATATTATCCATTTAAAAACAAAAAAACTTACTTCAATAAAGTCTAGAATGGGAAAAAAAAAAGTCAGAACAAATAAACAACTATAAAAGAACTACAGAACTACTGGGTGCAGTGGCGCACACCTGTGATTCCCAGCTACTTAAGAGGGTGAAGCATGAGGATCCTAAGTTTGAGGCTAGCCTGGGTAACTTCGGTAGACCCTGTCTCAAAAATTTAAAAAAGGGATGGGGATGTGGCTCAATGGTAGAGAATTTGCCTAGCTTGTCAAGGTCCTGTGTTCGATCCTTAGTACCCACCCCAAAACACATGAATACAAACGAAAAATCCCAAACCCACGGAGATATGTACTGGAAACTCATGATTTATATCTAAAATTGGCTAAGAGATTCTTCACATAAAAGCAATAAATCTAACCCCTTGGTGTCTGATGGTTAGAGAACTGTCTGTACTTAGTTACAGCATACTAATCACAGCCACCAGGTTCAGTAGCTCCTCAGAAATGAGACTGCCAAATTATGCCACCTACCATTTATTGGAGCCAAAAATTCTAGGTGCTAGAATGGGAACAAGGTAGTCAGCCAAGCACAAATACATAACAAAACAGGAAACACCGGAGAGAACAGATGGATCTAGATAATAGATAATCCTGTTAAAAAAGGAAAAATATTAATCAAAATTAGAAATAAAAGTCACCATTATTTCTAGCTGAAAATGTTTAACTATGCATTTAGTCCATAAGTTCTCAAAGATCATATTTGCTGTTTTCTCTTTAGTTTTCTCACAGGTGGTTTTTCCAGAGGCTTCTTGGCATATCATAGGAAAAATGATTAATGTAAACATAAAAAGTCTAAAGCTCTTTGGGGTTCACAATACTTTTTAAGAGGGAAAGGGGGGTTGAGTGTCACTGATTTATTTAGCTGTGTTAAGTTACCAAGTTTACATAAGTACGACAAATTCTGGAAAGTACATGAACTGCTTATAAGCAAAGGCATTCTTTGCGGATTATATATTACAAAAGCTTCCATAAGTGGAAGCTATGTGCTACTTGAGCCTTTATTACTAAAAGCACAACCCTTAGTAATCTAATAGCTCACTTACAGGAACACCAAGGAAACCACACCCATGATGGCAGGTGGGAACCAGGCTCTCTCCCATCGGAGAATTTTATCGGCCATCAGCATCATTTCTCCCCATCCTTGCAGCTGCTCTTCCAGATTTGCAGTCTCTGCAGCCTACACACAACCAACATTTAAAGTGGTTCACAAAAGTAGTTCATTTCTTTTAAGGCACCAGACATGTAAAAGACTTCTTAACCAGATCACTATCTTAAACAAGCTTCTGAAGTTTCTGAAAAACTGCAGTTTTGGCACCAAAGATGGAAGCCAGTAGGAGGAAAAGAACCCTATCCTTTAAAGTTCAAGCACTGGGCTACCTACTCTTTACAACCATAATGGGACATAATCCTTATAGTGCTCCACAAAGAGAGACAATTACTTGTTTTGAAATTAAAGAATGTGAGCTCTGAATGGTTAACTAATTTCACCGAAGTCATAAACAGAATCATGTGGCAGTTCCTAGTATTAATGTTAGATCCTTTAAGTTTGTTCATTTCAGGTGATTAAAATTGATCTGTTGTTTTTGTCATTTCATTGATTTAAACTCCTTATTTCTAAATCCATTAGGAAAGCCTTTCCCTGAACAGCCTTCAATCTCTAAAATAGCTCTTTGTGTAATGGAATCACTTAGATGTTGGCATTCATTGCACAATTAAGGAAAACTACTTCCACTAAATTACCTGTGGCACTTCAAGCTCAAAAGCTCCTTAGTACTGTTTCTCTTATCATGTATGAGGTCATTTTGGTTAGACTTCAGATTGCTCTGCAAATCTGATAGCCAAAAGCAGACCTCTAGGATGAGCTAATGTGACAAAAGCCCTTACACTGACTTTAGTAAAGGAAGAAAAAAATGACAAGAAACCAAAGTGCCAGGTGGGGAAGTGGCAAATGCCTATAATCCCAGCTACTCACAAGGGGGTTCTGAGGCAGGAGGATCTGAAGCTGGAGGACAGCCTGGGTAACTTAGTGAGACCCTGTCTCAAGGCAATAAATGAAAAGGGCTGGGGATGTAGTGGTAGAGTGCCCCTGGGTTCAATTTCCAGTGTCAAAATAAAAACAAAAACCACACTCCCAAGAGTCCCTACATATTTACCACTGAAAAATATGTAGGATAAATAGGATAATGTCGGTTAATCTTAATAAAAACACTTATCAGTGCCACAATCACCAAGGTGACCCCAGAATTTCTGTATATCCCACACTTAATAATAGTTAAATAGATTACTAAGAAATAGAAACTAAGCATTTTATAGCTTATACTCCAGTTAATCCCCCAAAAATTCTAAAAGGAAGGTGTTGCTAACAATCCCTATTTTATAGAAGGGAAAACCAAGATGCCTAGAGATTAGCAGATCTGAATCTAGGAGATCAAGAACCAAGGCCTTGTCCTTTTTAAAATTACACTGCTTTGCTGAAAGGAGTGGTTGAGTTCCAGAATCCCATTTCAATAGAACTTGGGTGATTTCCTTGCGCCTCAATTAATCCTCTTAAAAGGAACCATGCTGGTGACTAACCATACAGAAGGGGTGTGTGTGTGTGTATGTGTGTGTGTGTGTGTAAAGGTGGGGGAAGGGTGTGGGGGCTGTCCATGTCTTTCAAAAAACCGAATGCAAAATGAAAATCATGCACAATCAAGATGACCCTGTTAAGTCACTTAATCTGTCAGCATTTGGGTTCTTTAAGTACAAAAGTCAAACAGTCTCCTCTTCATTTCTGGCGTGTGGCCTGCCTTTCCTTGGGGAAGGGCAATGGAGATAATGTAAGGCTGTCTCTCTTGTTTTTGCCGATAGTGCAAATTCATTAAATTAGGGATCAATTAAGTTTGTCACTACCTCACGCAGTTTTTTCGCATCCGTGGTTACTATTCTAAAATCGTCTCCAGTCGTTCAGTGCCCCCGCACCCCAGACTTCCAACCTCCAGGAAAACGCCGAGACCTGCCATTGTCCTTTCGGCTGGACCCCACTTGGAGCTCTCTGCAGCGAGCTCGCAGCCTCTCTGCCGTTTTAAGTTATGCCAGCTCCAACAAATTCTCGGCAGCAGCCCTTTCACCCTCCACCCTTGCCCAAGTTTTAGGGGGAACAGAACATTAGGTTACGGCCCAACAGGAGGAAGGAACCGGACATGGCTGGGGCCCGGCCCCGACAGCGCTCCCAGGCCCCTGGCGGCCCTCCGCCCCCCGGCACCCCAGGCTTCTCCGCCACAGCCCCTTTCTCCACTTCCTCCTCAAACCCCATTCGCGGTGGCTAATCACGCGCCCTTCTCGCCCGGCCCCGCACCTCCCCAGGGGAGACTGGGGGTCCACACGACTGCGGACCGCCACGCAGGAGCTACCGAAGCAGCCCGGGGGTCCGGCGTCGTCGCCTGTCCTGGGAACTGGGGGCCGAGGGCTGGGCCCGCCCCGCTGAGCCCCGCGATAATCCGGAAGCCCGGCCCGATTCCCTCGGGACAGGCCGCGGGGACTCACCAGCAGGTTGGTGCTGCGATTATCTCCCTCCGCCATCGTCCCTGAAGTGCAGTCTCAACGAGCGCAAGGTATCCTCCGGCTACCTTCGCCGGATACCCGCACCGCGACTGGAGCGCGAGGTAACGCCCCGTAGGCCCCTTATATAGGTCGGGCTCTTTTCCCGAGAGCCTTCGCGAGGCTCGCTCCTCATTGGACGAATCAAGCTCAGGCTCAAAGGAGGACAGACCAACCGCTGCTCAGCGCATGGCTTGAAATCAGGGTCAAAGGAGAGAGAGGCCGCGCCGGGTTGAGGGGGTGGGGACACGGGCTGACCAATCAGCGTGCCCGCTCAGGGCTGCCGGAAGCCGTTCAACTGCCGCTGGGATGGTCTGGTCTCCGTCTCTCCGGGGTTGGCCGCTGCGATAGCTCTCAGCACCTGTTTTTGTTGGATCTCAATGCAGCTAAGTTTCCTCTATAGAAAACCGATAAGTCCAAGACTTGTGCTGCTGCGCAGTGTCAGTCGCAAGAGAAATGAACACGTGACAACCCTCCCCTGGGCTGGGGTCCCCATCAACCGGGTGTCCCTCGTCCTCCCTGCACTGACCGGCCTGGCCAAGCCCTTAGCCTGTATTTGTGACTCAAGAAGACTCTCATGCCCACCTCATGAAATTTCGAGTAAAAGGAAAAAAGAGCTACTTTCTGTGAATTTTGCTGCCTTGTATTCCTCTTACCCAGCAGGAATAAGGCTTAACTTGGGGGCGGGGCAAAAACATAGTTGGAGAACTTGTGAAAAAGGCACCTGGTTATAAAAGGGCTTTCTTCCCATGGGGTATTTAGGGAAATCCTTTATGGGGCATTTCGGTTAAACAAGCTCTTTCTCCAAAAAGGGATGGCTTTGACAGGACCTTCTTGCATTAGAAGTCATATTAAGGAAAGATGTAAACCTCAGGCAGTAGAACGCATAAGCAACGTTAGGACTAACTATGTTAAGAAACTACCTTCTCTATCCAGAATTTCAAAATGCAACTGCTTTTCATTATTCGGTGCAAACTTTTGTCAAACACCTACCTGGTCAGCCTTTTGCTTTGGCTCAATTAAGCATCGTTTTCGACTACCAAACTCATTCATTTATAGTCACCTATATTATACATTGGATTTATTTTGAATGCATTTACCAGATTCTTTAAAAACTCAGGGAATTCAGAAAGAAATATGAGAGGACATAGGCGCAGACCACATACTCCCCTACATAAACTGGCAAGGGCAGGAGTTGTGGATTTCAGAAAATAGTGTGCAGTTTGCCTTGGAGGTTTGGATGGTTGGGAGCAGTCTGGATCACGTTGAAATACTTTAATAAACAACACACCTTTTGCAAAGGAATACTACTCTTCCATGAAGTCACACTTTGGGGAATGTTGGAAAAAAAGAGCAGGAGATTTTATACACACACACACAAGATGCAGTAGAGTGACAGAGCCTATTTGGGGAGACTTAAAAGCTGTGGAATTTGAGCAGCAACCCCTGCTTCAAACTTTTAAAAGGACTCAAGTAATCATCCCCCACGTTACCATAAGCATTGAGGTGCCAGTCTTGCTGTAGGCAAAGTAATATCCACTTCCAAAGGAAAGAACAGAGTTCCTAACAGTCTTTAAGGTAGGTTAAAAAACTTCAGCGATTCCCCTGGAGTTTATTATTCCCAGAATGTGTTCCCAGATCATTTCCTCAATAAATGTCCAAGTGGTTCAACTCTATTAAAAATAACTACCCTCAATGGAGCTTTCTTCTGAGCACTATTTTTGTACCACAAAGATAGGAAATAATCTTTTGTTCAGATGATTACGCAGTTACCATAAATCCCCTTTAACAGAACCTATAGGCCACACACATCATTTTCAACCAACAGCGGCACAGACAATTTGGACAATTTCTATCTTTCATCGGGGTTTTCATGCCCCAGGTAACATATACATTTGCCAAAAAGTGGTCTGCTGGAGTTTTATTTGGTAAATACTGAAAGAAATTAATAAATTGACCCTTAATACCAAGAACTTTCCCACTGAAGTGCAAAATTTCCATTGCTGTTCAAAAACAGAACAATTTTTTTTTTGAGAATTAAGGTTTTAATTTTTAAAGGTAATTAGTGTTTTAAAGAGGGGGGAAAAAAAGCTACCCATGTTCCAAAATGAATTTTTCTGGAATCTACTTCAATAAATTCAAAGCTTAAATGCTGTATCTTTTAAGAATGAACCTTTATTTTTTGAAAAACAGATATCTCATATAATCTTTGCCATGTTAATGCAAATATGCAAAGTAGGCCATGTATTTTTGTTTTCCAAAAGATGCATTATGAACATTTTCAGGAAGCTGGTGTGATTTATTCAACTTTAATCTTAAATACAATCGCAAAATTATATCCATCAGGAGGCATTACAACCTTCTGTACAGAGAAGCCACTATTTATACAATGTTACTAGGACAAGGAAGATTCATTCAACTCAACTTGCTCTTATAAGGGTTAAAAACTAAATTAACAATTGAAATATGGTGTCATTGCCACTGACATTACAGGTGGAAATACAAGGAAATTTTAAACCAGAAAAATAAGTGATGCATTTACTTTAAACAGGAGCCGAAACTGTGTCAAGAAAACAAAAACAAACTATATTTAATCAGCCTGTTTTGAAAGAAAAACATTCTAAAAGTCTGCATTTCAGAACAACAAGCTATTTAAGTTTACCATATTCAAAATTCGAGCTAATTGTATGTCAATTTTTATATCAGCACAACAAAGGGTTTTTTCCTAGTAAGCCCAGCCAAATTCCCATGGAAAGCAAGGGACCCTACCTAAGTGGTTGCTTTACAACTAACCCTTGAACCAAAAGCTTCTCACAATAAGAGTCAGTTCTGCCATCATGTAAATAAGGATAGTGACATAGTTACCCAGGCCAAAAAGCAGGCAAAGTGCAGCAAACCCTTAGGGTTTCATAAGACAATGAATATCCCCCTTTCCCAACATTTGAAAAGTTCTGTGATGCTTGCTAGTATTTCCCCAAAGGAGGAATCTTTCTAATGCTACCCAAATAATTGAAAAATCTACCTCATTGACGTGACCTTTGCATTAATATTTCTACCTCCTTGATTTAAGGGGGGGGGGAACATCCTAATTCTAAATTATTGGCATTTTTTACAAGCTCAACAAGATATAAAATGGAACACTGGTTTTCATACTCATCTAAATTTTTGTAAAACAAAGATGCTTAAATGTGCTAATAGTAACACATTCACTGAGATCTGATGTATACGAACAGGAGTAACAGGCTAAGAGTAATAGGCTAGTTGTAGGCGCTTTCATCAATATGAAAAGAATTGGGAGAAAAGAAGAACCAGCTCCTTTGATTTTAGTACTGCCAGACAAGTAAGCCCCCAGAGTAATTACAAAAAGGTGGAGGAAAATAGGCCAGGAAGACTTTGATTGAAAGTACTGCCTATAATACCCCAGATTAAAAAGGACCTAAGATTGCACATCAACTCTAATATTTGGCTGTACTTGCATTGCCCTGCGCGGCATTTTTTTAAATGGCTCTTTCCTTAAATTTCACACATCAGAATAACCACAATTAAAAAACAAAACAAAAAAAAAATGCAGGTAACCACAAACATTGGACAATATTTAAAACTACTTAGGAAGCTTAAGTAATAGAAACAAGTGTCAAGGGCAAAAGTGTCAGAGTTTTCCTTTGTATTAGAAATCCTCACCCTGAACCTGGGGTTTGAGCTCTAAAAGAGCAATTCAGGGAAGCAGATCAAGAGCCTAATGATCAGTTCTCACAGAAATCTCATGTATATCAAAAACAAAAACAAACAAAAAACAACTCAGCACAAGCAACAGACACAAAAGAATCTTAATAATCATCCAGTAAACTGTGGGAACTTATAACCAGAAATGGAGAAATCACAAGACACGCCAAAGAATCAGTAAAAGAGAAATAGCTCCATGAACTTCTAGGCCTCCACAGCTTTGTAGAGAAATCAACTAAAAAAAATAGATGATTCCATCAAATTAAAGACAAAACATTTAAAACTTCAGATTTCCAAGGGTACTTTGAATAGAAGAGGTTGTTTGTAGATTATTCTGTACCCACTGACTTGGACAGGGGAAGACAGAGGGAGGAATAGAAGGAAGAGACAGAACGACAGACGGACAGAAAAAGATCCCTGGTTTTCCACAGGTAATTCATCAAAAATGTGTGACTTCAAAATCATAGCACTCTAACTTTACAGTATTTTACAAGATAATCCCCAAAATATGGCCCTGTCTTCTCAATCTGATGAGGACTTTTACAAAAGTTCCAAAGGGGCAGGGCTAGTTGCAGAATGACGTCACAGAGGAAGCCAAACCTTACAGACTAGGGTCTTGTCCCGAGTGCAGTGAAAAAGCAAGTGCTGAAGTCATCAGCTACTCCTGTCTGCCCTAGGACTGTATATGCCACTGGGGGACCATTTTTAAATAAAAGTGATGGACAATTTACCAGAGGCACATGTTTTTTGTTTTTTGTTTTTTTTTAAAAAAAAAGAAATAAAGCTGTCTTGTTTTTTGCTTGGATAAGGTGCCAGGTAGTACCTCTGAAGCCTGAAAACTCACAGGCAATAAAATTCACCTATTTAATTTATCTTTGTTACCAAAGTGGAAGCAATTTCTGAACACTATCAGGACAATCAAGTGTGAACTGGTTTTATCATCATGATAAGTTTTTCCTGGTGACAATAAAGAATGTTGCTGAAAAGACTATGTAATCTTGAGAGAGCAGAGGTAATCAAGTGTTGAATGCAGTAGCTCCCAAAGCTTCCAGGAAATTAAGCAGTGTGCAAAATACAATATGGCATTCTTATTCCAGCTAGGCTGTTTTGAGTGTGAAAAGTAAGGTTCAAAAATCAATAAGGAAAAGAAAATTGGATGTGCTAGTTTCCTTAGCTTGCTATTGGACAGTTGGGTATTTAAAAATACCAGCTTTCTTGTAATACTTATTAAAGTATAAAGAAAGTACTGGCATTGAAATGCATTCTCACAGGTATTTAAGGATCATAGGTTAATGTGGCAATCAGAACACAGAAAAGGCCCAGAGCTAGGTGGGATTTTTCCCT